ACACACACACACACACACACACACACACACACACACACACACACACACACACACACACACACACACACACAGAGGATGGCCTCAGTGTGCTGCTGTTCTGTGTTAGATCAGCATGTAGAAATTACAGTGCTCGGCTGTAATGAATGCCGGCTGAAATTCCCGTCTCTAGTGGGTGTCCTGACACGCGGAAATGTTAAATACCTCCTCCCTCCCTTCATTTATCCTCCCCCCTTTCTGCCCTTTTTCCTCCCTCACACGGGGGACTCGCTGCAGGGCAGGAAGTCCTTTTTTTAACCAAGCTAAATGCTTTAATTAAGCCCTCCAGCCGCTTGGGAAAAGACAAAGAGGTAATGCCATCAGCCTCATTAAAGCTCACTTCTGCTACCATCAGCTGGGTTTGTGTCTCTGGGTTGATAAATGTTAGAAGTAATCTACKCGAAGAAGCTCTTAAACTTAACGTTTGCTTGATAAAAACAAAAGATTTTGGGTCCTTTGGGTTCATCTGACAAAAATTCATATCGCACAGTCTGTTACAGAACACTTAGAGGTCTTCCTCATTTCTCTTTGAAAAGCTATCTCAGGATTTTTTATTTATTCATTCATTTTTTTACAGTTGTGGTTACCAGACTCAGGACACGCCTCTGAAGATGTTTCAGTCTGACAGCTTCAGTGGATTCACTTCAGACACAAAAGAATTTCAGACAGCATAAATCTTCAGCAGACACCGATTTAGTCTGAAATGAATATTTTTAGTCAAGAATATTAAGATGATAAACATTCAAGGTAAAGTACGCAATCCTCTGATATTTTAAGATTTTATATGTCTGGATAGAATAAACATTTCATCTTCTCCACGTTTTTTAAAGGACCAGAAATTTCAGATGAACACATCTAATATTAAACAAATATTCATATTAGAGCTATTTCTGCTGACATTTCTGTCAGACACCWGGTTTGTTCACAAATCAAAACTCTCATCGTGTGTGAATAATCACATGTACAGTTTGATGTTCAGAATGAAATCACTTGTACAAAATAATGTTTTATTGTTAGAAATGAATGTGTTGGGTTTTCTTGGTATACAAGAAGTTATAAACATATCCTTGTTAGTCTTTATGAAAATTCCTTTGGTTAAAGKAGTTAAACTGAATCCATGATGCTTATTTGATGTTTTATCTTTTGATCACATCAATATACTATAACAAAAGCTGCAAAACTGCTTCATGTGTCTATTCTCTGCTGGTCTGACTTTACATCAACTTGTTCCAAATCTTTATGGTTTTTTAAATAATAATAATAA